GATTAGAGTGGGGGTTGGGGATAGCCAGTTAAAGGGGCTGGCTAGGCGCGGTTCGAAATGTTTGCCTCTGCAGCGCCTTAAGACAAATTGGAAACATGGTTTTTCCGGCTGGCTGAAACATTCAGAGTGGACCTACATGGCAAAAACCAGACAGATTGTGTAGTGTGCCCTATGCACTAACCCTGTGTTTTAAAAGTCTTGGTATGACTGCACAAACATCCAGGTAGTTCTCTTAGAAAGGACAGGTACAGGGGTGGGATTCTACCGGTTCAGGCCGGTTCAGGCAAACCGGTAGCTCCAACGATCAGCTGGCAGCGAAACAGTTCACTCCGACGATCAGCTGGGTTCGCCCTCCCTCCCTTGCGCTTTACTTACCTATATCTTCACAGCTGATTACCGCGGCGGAGCGGATTGCCACGCATCAGCTGTTTTAATTCCCTAGCACTAACCCGGAAGGTGCTTTTTTTGTTCAATTGCGCACGTGCGCGTAGCACGCGACTGGTGCGGGCGCACGCAAAGCGCACAATCACCAAACTGGTTGTTAAACCAGTAGGATCCCACCACTGGTCCTCAACTTACAACCTTTCATCTAGCGACCGTTTGAAGTTACAACGGCACTGAAAAAAGTGACTTGTGAGTTGTTCACACTTGCGACCATTGTAGCATTCCCTATGGTCACATGATCAAATTTTGGATGCATTCAATCCAAAGACCTCAACACCAACAGACCAGTCGTGGGTTTCAATATTTTTTACTACCGGTTCTGTGGGTGTGGCTTGGTGGCCGTGGCATGGCTTGGTGGGCGTGGCCACCAAGCCATTAGCCACCAAGGCCAGGCCAGCCACCAAGGCTGGCCTGGCCTAACCTCTTTTAAATTGTTTTAAATTTTAAATTGGGTTTTATAATTGTGATTTTAAATTGTTTTTTTGGGCGATAGTATTTAATATATTTTTAAATGTTTTTAATGTTTGTATTACATGTATTTTATCTTGGCTGTTCACTGCCCTGAGTCCTTCGGGAGTAGGGCGGTATATACATTTAATAAATAATAATAATAATAAAATAATAACATGGGCATGGCAGGGGAAGTGTAAAAGTGTAAAATCTCCATTCCGTCCTCAATCCAAGGGAAGATTACTGCAAAATCCCCATTTCCTCCTGATCCGCTGGGACTCGGGAGGCAGAGAATAGATGGGGGCGGGGCCAGTCAGAATTTTTGCTGCCGGTTCTTCGAACTACTCAAAATTTCCGCTACCAGTTCTCCAGAACTGGTCACAACCTGCTGAAACCCTCCTCTGCAATAGACCTCATTGCCCCAATGAGGTCTATTGGTGACGGGGCAGGATTAGAAGGGGGGGTGACACATGTTCCAGTCCCCACACAGCTACATAATCCATCACATGCTGTACATGGACTGACAGAATAGATGTCTTTTGACTTCTCAGTTAAGACAACAAGGGAGCCAGAGTCACCCAGACCATATATATATATATATGACAACTGCAGGGATTTGCTTAATGACCTTGGGAAAAGTCATAAAACCAGGCATGATTCCCTTAATTGTCTTGCAATGGAAATTCTGGTTCTAACTCTGATCATAAATTGAGGATTACCTCCACCTCTCACTTGAGAGAGAGAAAGAGAAAGAGAAAGAGAAAAAGAGAGAGATTAAAAATGGAAAGTAAAAAAAAATCTAGAATTAAGAGAGTAACGGGGCCAGAGTCACCCAGCCAAGCTGATTGATAGATATAGATGGCAGATAGATTAGACAGATTAAGAGAGATTAGGAGAGGATAGATAGACAGATACAGTAGATAGATAGATAGATAGATAGATAGGTAGGTAGGTAGGTAGGTAGGTAGGTAGGTAGGTAGGTAGGTAGGTAGGTAGATAGATGTTTTATTCCTATTCCAATTTCATTTTAAATTGTTTTTACCAAATTTTTGTAATAATTGTTTCTGGAGCTCTACACTTTGATATGGCCTAAGGGCTAATCAATAAATAAAGAAGAAGAAGAAAGATAGATAGATAGATAGATAGATAGATAGATAGATAGATAGATAGATAGATAGATATGGGTGAGTGGGTGGGTGGTAAGCGAGAGAGAGGGGGAGATGATAGATACCCTGTTTCCCCGAAAATAAGACATCCCCTGATAATAAGCCCAATCGGGCTTTTGAGCACATGCACTAAAATAAGGGGCCCCTGCCTGAAAATAAGCCCTCCCTGAAAATGTTTAAACGCATGTGCAGCCAGTCCCCGCCATTTCCTCTGGTTTCCTCCACGTGCCCCAAAATAATAAGACCTCCTAGAAAATAAGGCCAAGTTCTTATTTCAGGGTTCAAAAAAATATAAGACAGGGTCTTATTTTTGGGAAAACACGGCAGATAGATAGATAGATGATAGATAGATAGATAGATAGATAGATAGATAGATAGATAGATAGATAGATAGATAGATAGAAAGATAGATAGTAGATAGATAGATAGATAGATAGATAGATAGATAGATAGATAGAGACAGACAGACAGACAGACAGACAGATAGACAGACACAGACAAACTGTTGCTTAGATAGATAGATAGATAGATAGATAGATAGATAGATAGATAGATAGGAGATAGATAGATAGATAGATAGATAGATAGATAGATAGATAGATAGTAGATAGATAGATAGATAGATAGATAGATAGATAGATAGATAGGAGATAGATAGATAGATAGATAGATAGATAGATAGATAGATAGGAGATAGATAGATAGATAGATAGATAGATAGATAGATAGATAGGAGATAGATAGATAGATAGATAGATAGATAGATAGATAGATAGGAGATAGATAGATAGATAGATAGATAGATAGATAGATAGATAGATAGATAGATAGAAACAGACAGACAGACAGACAGACACAGACAAACTGTTGCAGAGAGAGAGAGAGAGAGAGAGACAGACAGACAGACAGACAGACAGACAGACAGACAGACAGACTGTTTCTCTCTTAATTCTAGACTTTTTCACTTTCCGTTTTTAATCAAAAGAGAGTGAGTGGTAATCCTCACCTTACAACCGGAATGGAGACCAGCGTTTCCACTTCAAGACAATGGACTGAATGATGCCTGACTGTATGACATTTCTTTTGCCAAGGTTATTAGGCGAATTGCTGCAATCGCCCACCCACCTTAAAGCATGCTGGCTGGGGAATTCTGGGAGTTGAAGCCCCCCCGCCCCCATCTGAACGGTCGAAAAAACATTGGTTTAGCAGATTGTTCGAATCCACCCCGAAAATCTTGGCGACCGGGCCTTCCGAAGCTTCTAAACTGAAAGAACTCTGTTCTGCAGGAAACCTCTTGCCAATCTTTTGTCTCTGCAACAGTTTGTAGCGGCAGCTGCAATCTGACTCGTGCAAAGGCTGCCCCAGTTCCCAGACTCGTCTTCCCAGCTGCTGAGCCAACAGCACAGCACGGCTGAGTTGCCGGCTTCTTTTTTTCCCCTGGCTTGTTTCATACTGTCACAGCTGCTGCTCCAAATCGGCGGCAAAGTCTTCCGACTTGTTCTTTGAAAGTTGCGGTTTGATATTTAATGCTCATTCTCTTTCCCTCTGGCTCTCATCTCCCCCGAAAGCCGGAGCGGCAAAACACAGCAGCGATCTGTGCCTCCGATTGTTTATATTTACTTCATGAAACTGACAAAGAAAGATGATTTCTAGCAATAACCATAGCTCATAGACTTTTATATCACACGTCACAGTGTTTTACAGCCCTCTCTAAGCGGTTTACAGAGTCGGCCTATTGTCCCCAACAATCTAGGTCCTCATTTCACTGACTTCTTAAGGACAGAAGACTAAGTCAAGCTTGAGCCGGTCAGGATCAAACTCCTGGCAGTCGGCAGAGTTTGCCTGCAATACTGCAGTCTCACCACTGCGCCACCACAGATAAATTGTAGATAGACAGCAATGGCACTTATATACCGCTTCACAGTGCTTTACAGCCCTCTCTAAGCGGTTTACAGAGTCAGCCTATTGTCTCCAACAATCTAGGTCTGCGATGGCGAACCTATGGCACGCGTGCCACAGGTGGCACGCAGAGCCATATTAGTGGGCACACCAGCTCAGCTCTGGGGTGCATGCGCGCGCCGGCCAGCTGATTTTCAGGCCTTCTGGGCCCACCAGAAGTAGGGAAACAGGCTGTTTCCTGCCTCTGGAGGGCCTGGGGGCGGGGTGGGGAAGGCCCGTTTTTCTTTCTTACCTGGTTCCAGATCCTCTCTGTGTATCTGGGAATGGCAAAAACAGCCTTTCCCACTCCCTTGAAGGCCCTACGGAGGCTGAAAGGGCCCATTTCCCCACTCCCGGTGGGACAGGAAGTGACATTTTTTCCTGTCCCCAGCCTCCAGAGACTCCTAGAGAGGCTCCTACAGACTCCTAGAGAGGCTCCTACAGACTCCTAGAGAGGTTCTGGAGGCTGGGGACAGCAAAAAATGTCACTTCCTGTCCCACCGGGAGTTGGGAAATGGGCCCTTTCAGCCTCCGTAGGGCCTCCAAGGGAGTGGGAAAGGCTGTTTTCGCCATTCCCAGATACACAGAGAGGATCTGGAACCAGGTAAGAAAGAAAAACGGGCCTACCAGGCCATCATGTGCCAGGAGCGGGGGAGGAGGGGATTGCGCACACATGCACGTGGGCACGTGCGCGCACGACCCTCCCCCGCCCCCCCCCCCTCCTGGCACGCGATGGCAAAAAGGTTAGCCATCACTGATCTAGGTCCTCATTTCACCAACCTCGGAAGGATGGAAGTCTTGAGTCAACCTCTGAGTCTGTCAGGATTGAACTGCTAGCGGTTGACAGAATTTGCCTGCCATGCTGTAGTCTCACTACTGTGCCACCGGGGCTCAGGTCATAAATATGAATCAGTTGCCAAGCATCTGAATTTGATCATGTGACGAGGGGGATGCTGGTAAGTGTGAAAACGACCGTGAGTGTGAAAAACAGTCATAACTCACTTTTTTCAGTGCCACTGGAACTTTGAAAGGTCCCAGGCTGACAGACAACACCTATAAGAGATCAGCAGACACCAACTGAGGCTAAAGCTGTAACTTGTTAAGCATTACACAAATTATACAATTTGTAGTAACTGTTGATTTATGACCGTAATTGAGCCTAGAATGATGGTTGTAAGTCATACCAGTTATTAAGCGGGTCATCACATGTCTGTGCCCAATTTTATGACTCTTTTTTTTTTTTGCGTTGGTCATTAATTGTATGCAACAGCCATTAAGTGAATGCAACAATGATTAAATGAATGCAGCAGTCATTAGGTGAATAGCACTTAGCAATAGCATTTAGACTTACATACTGCTTTACAGCCCTCTCGAAGCATTTAGACTTATATACCACTTTACAGTGTTTTACAGCCCTCTCTAAGCAGTTTACAGAGTCAACCTATTGCCTCCAATAACCTGGGTGCTCATTTTACCGACTTCTTAAGGATGGAAGGCCGAGTCAACCTTGAGTCGGTCAGGATTGAACTCCTGACAGTGAGCAGTGAGTTAGCCTGTAATACTGTAATCTAACCATTGTGCCACCACAGTTCTACCAGCTCTACGAGGTAGGCCAGAGCAAGAGATAAACTCCACAGAAGATTAAAGACTAATTTTATTTATACTGGCTAGAGCAATGTTTCTCAATTTCTCAATAAATTAAATTAAAGCAAAAAAAAAAAAAAAACTCATCCACTTTAAGGCATGTGGACTTCAGCTCCCAGAATTCCCCAGGCCAGCCTGCTTTAAGATGTATGGGACTTCAGTTCCCACCAAAATGTCCCACTATCTGAGTACCGTACATCACGCAAGAAAATGATAATATTTTTATGCCGATCATGCAAAGCTTTTCCCATCTGAGGAAATCAAAATAAAGACCTTGATACGATCCATTATTCTGTTTGCAATCTCGGGTCTAAAACCAATTTATTTTTGCTTTGTGTACTGTATCATCTGAGGAATCGGAGAGAGGCAGGAAGAATGAGACAATCTCTAGTGCAAAACTTGCTTTGCATCCTAACTAGATTTTTGCCGCCTGTTTTCAAACATCAATTGGGGTTTAAAGGGATGAAATATTTAAAGAATTCCTACATTCTTTGTTCGTCTTATTGCTTCTTTGTTTCTGGTTACTACTGCTTTGATAACAAGTGTAGTATATTAATTAAAGCACTGTTTCCAGGGTTGGGATTCAACCGGTTCGGACCGATTCAGGCGAACCGGTAGCTCCAACGATCAGCTGGGAGAAAACCGGTTAGCCCTGAAGATCAGATGGACCCCTCCACCCGCCCATGCTATTTTCCTACCTTTATCTTTTCAGCTGATTCACGCGGTAGAGCGGATTGCTGCGCGAATCAGCTGTGTTACTCCTCTGAAGAAACCAGGAAGTGAAGATTTCTTCAAGCTGCGCACGCGATCACCGAACCGGTTGTTAAACTGGGAGGATCCCACCACTGACTGTTTCTCAATCTTGGCAGCTTTGAGCTGTATGGACTTCAACTTCCAGAATTCTCTAGCCAGCATAGGGGAATTCTGGGAGTTGATGTCCAAACAGCTCAAAGAGGAAAAGGAGGAGAATGAGGAGGAGGATTGTAGTGTCCTTGTTGCTCTCTGAGCTTGCTTACTTTCTTGCAGACATTTCATTACCCAACTAGGTAACATCATCAGTGCTAGAAGGGTGTGAAGTTTATAAACCACCAAGCTCAAGGACCCCACGAGAGCGACTAAATCAGGAGTCAAATTGCTACGGATATTTGCACAAATAAAATAACCATATTCCAGAGAAGCTCTTTCTTAAATATTTCTCCCAACTCACAAAACCCACTCGTCACCAACCTCTCCCTAAATCAGTTCTTTGAGCCCTTTCACTCAGCTAAAATGATTTTTTGGGGGGGGTGGGGGGTAAACTAGCCAGAATTGAGACGTACTGCGCCGCTGCAATGAATATCCTTCACTTTGAGCCAAGCCAAATCCAGCGTGCCTTCTCCCCTGTAGCAGGACTGCAACCGATCCTTGATCCGGTCGTTGATCTTCTTCAGGAGAAAAATGCAAAGGGCTGACTCGTCCAAAGATTTCATCTTCCTCTTTTGCCCCTTGGAGAAGACCGTGAAGAGAACATCGTCCTCCGGCAGGATCCCCAAAGATCTAGCCAAGATGGATCCCGCCTTCGATAAATAGGCGGCTTGCAACAACCGGTATTCCACCCCGTTCTTTTCGCAACCAATGGGCAGCTCAACGTAAGAGTTGAAGGCCGTGTCTTCTTTACAGAGGCGGACCAGTTTCGAGGTGTAAACTTGCTCCTTGGTGGTGGAACCCGATGGGGAAATCATTTCAGGCTGAAGGGTCAGAAAATAGACAAAATTACCACTGCTGAAGCCATAGATATAATAGATATCAAAGTCGGGGATAATGGTGAATGTATCCGATGGGATCTTGATCATGGAAGCCACAAACTCGTCGTGGAAAACGTAGGCAAACATTCCTTCCGCTTCCGAATTTTTTGGGAGCTTCCGACTAGAGATGGTGGGGAAGTACTCGGGCTTCCCATCAACCGCCGTGGCAATGAACAGCTTGTCATCCATGTTGTTGTAAGAAACAATGACTCCATACACGGAACCGCTCTCGTTCACCCCGGAGAGGTAGTGCTCCTTATTGTGGAAGGGCTCCCCAAGTTTAAACAGATCATCCAATCTCAAGAGTTTACAGATCCCCTGGTATAAACTGCCACAAGCGATCAACCTATTCTCTTTGTAGTCGATCAGCAACATCTTGTTGATGTTGTTGGTGGATATCAATGGTTCATTGCAAGGCTGGACCAGCCTGGGAGGATAACATTTGGGATTATCAATATCCGGACCCGTCTCATGACGGGCCTCCACCACCAGGTCGCTGGAGAGCTTGTATATCCAGTTGATAGCCCCCAAGTAAATAGATCCTTTCCTTTTGTCGACCACCAAGTGATTGAAGGAGATCTCAGTGGCTTCTGAGGAGAAGGTCAAGAAAGGTTTCTTTGGGTGAGAGGGCAGTTGCCTAGTGGCCGAAGATGGCCCCCACAGTGCAGAAGACAAGATGTAAGCCAAGGCAGGTCCATCTCCACATGTCTCCCGACATGATGACCAAAAGTATTTTTGTATTCCTAATTTGGAAGTGTGGTGGTGAACAATATACGAGGTTGCCAAAGTACAGGTCCCTGGGTACCACTTATCCTAAGGGAAAAGAAGAAAAACAGAGAAACCATTATTGAAAAGCATTTCCTTCCCCTCCTATTCAGACCTTCAAGAAGGGTGTCATAATTCAAGAAAGCTGACTTATCTTTGGCCAAAAAGGAGAAGGACGACATCATAAACCAGAATAAGCAAACACTTCAACTCATGTCAAAACAGCAGAAAGGTACTCGGCATTTATATTTTCCCAACTATCTTCTCCAACCTGGTTCCTCAACAGATGTCTGGGACTTTAGTTCTCAGACTTGCTGGCCAACAACATGACTAGGATGGTTGACTCTTGAAGGCCTGCATATTGGAGAACATTGGAGAAAACAGTTGATAGGTGATAAAGGCACCAGGCTAGAAAGCGGAAGACCATAAATTCTAGTCCTGCCTTAGGCACAAAAGCCGGCTGAGTTATTTTGGACCAATCACTAGGAAATTGTGAATTCTAGTCTCACCTTAGGCATGGAAACCAAGTGGCTGACTTTGGGTCAATCACCAGGAGACAGTGAGTTCTAGTCCTGTCTTAGGCATGAAAGCTGACTGGGTGACTCACCAGGAGATGGCGAGTTCTAGTCCTATCTTAGACATGAAAGCTGACTGGGTTACTTTGGATAAATCCAAATCCATGCCACTAACGTAACAACTGCAGTGATTCACTTAACAGTTGTGGCAAGGAAGGTCGTAAAATGGAGAAAAACTCATTTAACAACTGTCACACTTAACAGTGGAAATTTTGGGCTCAATTATGGTCCTAAGTCGAGGACTACAGAATAAAAAAAGCTCGTGAAGATATTGCTCTGTGTCTCCGTCTTTTTGGGAAACCACAGCCAAAACGCAGCCTCTCACCCAAATCCTGACAGCCCGTATCCGAGAACAGTGAAATTACATTGTGTCCCTCCAAAGATTTGTGGAGGGGCGGGAAGGAAAGAAGGATAATGGGAACGCAACGCAAATCAACCCCCAGAACACAAAAAGATAAAATGGGAGCTGAAATGAAGCCGGAGGCTCAGGATTCTGCCGGCTTTGTCGATTCAAAATTCAATCCGGCTTAAAACTACAGCCAAGATTGGGGCTGTAAAGACTTGGCTGAAACACGGAGATGAGTTGCAAATTCCCACAAACGCACCCAGACACACGGCCTGAGAGATTTTTCTTTGTATTTCTGCATGTTTACCGTGCCTCAAGTTTTCAGGGCTTTCTTTTCTTATTATTATTATTATTATTCTATTTTCTCCCCAAAAGCAGAAGCTTCAAAGTTCCACGTTTTGCTTCCTGGAAAAATCTGGAGGAAAACAAAACACTTAAAGATGCAAGAAGAACTTTATCCCTACTTGGATAAACATATGTTTCCCTCCTTAATCTTATGCCTTTTGGGGAGATTTGCATGCTTTCATTGTCCTCACGTCCCTAAGTGAGGTTAGTCGCCGTTGTTTAAAAAAAAAAATTACCCTGGACTGGCTGCAGGTATAAACAAGGAAAGAAACAAAAGAAGGAAGGGAAAATCAAATTAAGGCCTAGGAGCTTGACTGTATAATGGCTAAAATTAAATTGGAGAACTGTATTGTGGGAAGCCAGCCATTTTTTTTTTTTTTCATGTCTTCTGTGAGGGAATTGCGCGGCAGCTGTCCAGTCGGTGAAGTCGGAGACATTGACACAAACTTTGTGTTTTTTCTATAAATATAAATATATTTAACGTTTAAATTGACAACAGTCTTTGTCATCATCCAGAAAAGGAAGAATACAAGACAGTCAGGAGCTCAGTGACATCATCATCATGAGGTAAATTTTTACAGTATATACAGAACACAAAGAAGAAAAAAGCGGGAAAAAAGGGAAACTCCCCCTTTACACCCACAGCAACCAATCAGAGCGTAGATTGCCTCATGCATGAGTCAGCACTCTCATAACTCATCGACTACAATTTTTGTGTGTTCTGGCTTCTAGTACACTTTACTGCTCCAAGTACTAAAGTCAATATCTTAACATGTTCACACTTAGTTACGTACTTTATTTAGACTCTGCCATGATGATTTATATCAATAACTCAAGGCGGTGAACATACCTAACAAACCTTCTTCCTCTTATTTTCCCTACAACAACCACCCCAGGAGGTGGTTTGGGCTGTGAGAAAGAGAAAGAGAAAGAGAAAGAGAAAGAGAAATACTGGCCCAAAATCACCAAGCTGGCTTTCATACCTAAGGCGGCACTAGAACTCACCAACTCCTGGTGATTGGCCCAAAGTCACCCAGCTGGTTTTCATGCCTAATGTATGACTAGACCTCACTGTCTCCTAGTAATTGGCCCAAAGTCACCCAGATGGCTTTCATGCCTAAGGCGGCGCTATAACTCTCTGTCTCCTGGTAATTGGCCCAAAGTCTCCCAGACGGCTTTGATGCCTAAGGCAGGGCTAGAACTCACAGTCTCCTGGCAATTGGCCCAAAGTCTCCCAACTACTTTTCATGCCTAATGTGTGACTAGAAGTCACAATCTGTTGGTGATTGATCGAAAATCACCCAGGTGGCCTTCATGCCTGAAATGGCGCTAGAACTCACCTTCACCTGGTGATTGGCCCAAAGTCTCCCAGCTGGTTTTCATGCCTAATGTGTGACTAGAACTCACCATCTCCTTGCGAGTGGCCCAAAGTCACCCACCAGATTTCATGCCTAAGGCGGGAATCGAACTCATCTTTCCAAGGTCTCCTATCTCCTTTAAAGATGATACCACACCTTACTTCAAGTTCAAAAGAAGAGCATGCTGGGATGGATCAAGTTTTTTCCTCTTAGCCCTATTAAGACATTGGGGCACCGAGGAAGAGGGAAGGACTTTTTAGCTAGAAAGAGAGGCCAGGCTGCCCCCACCCATCCAAGTGGCGGCGGGTTGGACTAGATGACCTACAAAGTCCCTTCCAACTGTATTAATCTGTTAATCTGTTAAATACAGGTAGTCCTCAACCTATGACCACAATTGAGCCCAAAATTTTTGTTGCTAAGCAAGATATTGGAGAAGTTAAATTGCCCCATTTTATAACCCATCACAAATATTAAGTGAATTGACTACTGCAATTGTTCGGTTAGTAACACAGTTATTGAGTGAATCTGGCTTCTCCTTTGACTTCGCTTGTCAGAAAGTCGTCGAGGGGATCACATGACCCCAGGATGTTGCAACCATCATAAATATGAACCAGTTGCCAAGCATCTAACTTTTTATAACATGACCATGGGGATCCTACAACGGTCATGTGAAAAACGGCACCAAGTCACTTTTTTCAGTGCTCTTGTAACTTCAACATCACTCAACAAACTGTTGTAAGTTAAGGACAGTGATGGCATTCAGCCGGTTCGGTAGTGCTGGCGCTATGCCGTCCTATTTAGCCGTGTTTTCTAAGCCGCGCGTATGAGTGCAAGCCGTGCATGTGAGCAAAGCACATGCGCGGAAGGCTGGGTGCACGCACGGAAGGCACCAGTGGTGAAATGTAAAATTTGTTACTACCAGTCCTGTGGGCGTGGCTTGGTGGGGAGTAATGTGACTGGGTGGGCATGGCCAACTTTTTATTTATATATTTATTTTTAAAACCATTTTTTCTACCACCTCTTTAGCCAAAGAGGTTGTTTAAAAAAATGCTTTTAAAAGCCTCTGACAATCCCAGCTGAGTTGCCTGATCGTCAGAGGCTTTTTTTTTTTTTGCTTTTAAAAGCCTCTGACGATCTCAGCTGAGCCATGCGATCATCAGAGGCTTTTTTTTTTTTTTTTACTTTTAAAAGCATTTTTTCGGCCGAAGAAGTTGTAGAAAAAATGCTTTTAAAAATATTTTTAAAAAGCCTCTGATAATTGCGCGGCTCAGCTGGACATGGGGGGAGGGCAGGGATTTTTGCTACCAGTTCTCCGAACCACCCGCCGCCATCGCTATCGGATCGGGCGATCCGGTCCGAACCGGGAGCATTTCACCCCTGGAAGGCGCGCACGTTCACATTTTCGGTGCGCTGTGAACCGGTGGTAAAATTATGTGAAACCCACCTCTGGTCAAGACTACTTCTACCTTCCATGTTAGGTCTCCAATTCTTCTAGCGCTGCACTCAAGGACGGCAGAGACAGAAAGAAAGAAGATTTTGCTTAAGCGAGATGCTGATTTAAGCAAACAGATCCAGCTGCCTAGCAATTCAGCCCAAGATCAGCTCACAATCCACTTTAATCTCTGCAAAACATTTTCTTCCCACCCCCATCCCACTCTCGCTGGCTTCTTTTAATAAATCCTGATTACCACCGACAGGGATTCTCGCAACCCTCACAGGAATAGAAAGACGGCAAAGAAACAGAGGCAAGACAAACGGTTGCTCAAACAATTACAGGTCGTCCTCAACTTACGAATACAAACTGACCCCAAAATTACTGTTGTTTAGCAAGACAGTGCTTAAGTGAGTTTTGCTCCCTTTTACAACCTTTCTTGCCAGGGTTGTTAAGTGAATCGCTGCAGCTGTTACAGATAGGAATGTGCACCTCACTACGCTTCGGATACTTCCGGATTGAAAGATTCCTTTAACTTGTACCTATTTTGGTCTTGTATTTGATATTGCAGATTTTATGTTGTGTGCGATGCCTTATTTCAATTTATTTATTTATTATTTATTTATTAGTTCGATTTATATGCCACCCTTCTCCGGAGACTCAGGGCGGCTTACAAGGTATTAAGCAATAGCCTTCATACCTTTGTATGTACCTGCTTAGTAGGGCTTTTGGGGGGCCCTAAGCGGTGTTCTTTTTTATACAAAGTCATCTTATTGTCCCCACAATCCGGGTCCTCATTTTACCTACCTCGAAAGGATGGAAGGCTGAGTCAACCTTGAGCCTGGTGAGATTTGAACTTGCAGTAATTGCAGGCAGCTGGCAACTAAGTGCTACTTTAACAGCACTTAGTCCACTGAGCCATCAGGCTCTAATTGGGATGCTTCTGACACTAATGGAAGAAATATCCATCTGGTTCAGTTCCAAGCCGGAAG